TTTATGTTCTCCCATTGGTAGGGAATTTGTATTGTCCTTTAGGCCCCAGGGGTTGCTCCTATACAGCAACATACTACCTGACAGGCAATGGTTTTTGCCCTTTCTGTACAGAACAGGGTATTTAAGCTCCCAACAGATGCTTCTAGAATGTTTTAACACTTCTGCTTTGATAGATTAATACCAGCACCTTTTCAGTGGACTCTAGGGTAATAGGCTCAGTTTCCTCTCAGGTGACCTGGTGTACCCGCAATCTTGAGGATCATGGGCACACTCAATCATGGACATTGCCTCAGTCATAATTTTTTTCTGGCTACAGCTCTGTTCAGGTTGTTTCAAGGACTTTTTAAACCCCTAAAAAACAAGCCTGGTGATTATGAATCCAATTTTTGTTATCAAATATTATTGTGATTAATATGTTAAGTTGCAACTTTTTGTAAGTTTCAGATTCAGAGCCACCCTGCATATTTTTCGAAAAATTTAAGGTGGCTCCAAATTTTCTTCTTCTCTTAATCAGTGCTGCCTCTAGTTTTAAACAAGAGGTAGCATTGTTCCTCAAAGAAGAAAGGTTGAAAAGTGCTCAAAACCATGCATTATGAGCCACCTTAAAATAAAGGGTGTTTTGAACAGGTTTCGCTGTTACTAGGTTACCAAAGCAATTAATATAACACCTTCTAAGCTATGTCGTGAAGATGACCACAACGTGCTCACCAATGACTGGGTATTTCTGTGATACCCATATAAAGCTTATTGTAAAATCAGTTGAACTGCCAAAGTTATTTAAGCTTATTTATTAACCTGCTGGAAAAGCTGTGGGAACGGTTCAAGCTTAGGACTATCGTAAACAGGGTGCACAATTTCTAACAATACACTTACTGCAGCTAAACGCTTTGCAGCTTCCAAAGAAGACAGGTCAGCCACAAAATAGTTAGCAGTTTCCGCACCTAATTCCCCGCAACGTGCCACGACTTTTTTGAGGGCCTCTTCTCTTCGAGCAACAAGCAAAAGTTGGGCGCCAAGTTTGGCGTACTGATAAGCAAGGTCCTCTCCGATTCCTGTGGACGCTCCACAAATTACTACCTTTTTGCCTCGCACACTTTCAGGATCGAAATTCTCCTTTAGGTACCACGCAATCAAAACGGCTGCAACAGCTGTGCAAAATCCAAAGAAAGCTGCAACTTTGAGTAAGCCCGCCATTTTGTGTTTGAATTGTAGAGCACAAGGGTAGGAGGGGTGGGGAAGTTTGTGTCACCGGAATAAATGGTAGAGGAGTGGGCAGGGATAGTTGTTGCGATCGGACATAAAGCAATAATGAGCGGAAAAATTAAAAATTTCATTTACAATAAAGGATATTGCAAATTTCAAATGAGAGAGATTCATGTTGTTCTACGAAACCATGACGGTGATGCCTAGGACGTCGATTAAAAAATGGATTTATATTTTACCTACTAATCTTGCGATACTCTTAAGTCATTTACTTTATTTATCACTGTCAAAACTATCGCAAAACTAAATCCAGAACACAGCAATAGATTTGAAATAAAAATTTACAAAATTAGCTGTCGTGGTTTACATTCTTCAGACAACGCAAAATTTGGTCATTTCACGTTGTTGTCTTACATAGGACGGCAAAGAAATGCACCAAGAATTATAACACACGTGCACAGCCATTGTTCTGCTCATTGATTCTTTTGTTCAGTGATGTTCCTATTGCCGTTACTGTTGTGGTTAGGTAAACTCCCTATTATTATGGTGGTCACGCAATGGAGGGGGAACTTTGCGTGACAACCCTAATAACGGCTATAAAGGAGACTAACAGTAGGGTTAAGTGTTACCTCACAAACAACCAAGGGTCACCTCACGGGGAAAAAACTACCATATTTCCATTAGATAAATTTTTATAAAGTGTTTCATTTGTAACTCGTGGAAAAAGTATATCAGCAGATTAATGTCATTTTGTGCACCATCAAGAACCTTAACAATTCAGGTATGAAAGGCGTGTGCAGTGAGTGGTGTTAAGCCCTCACCCTAATCAAGGATGAAGCAAATGAAAATTTTACCCTATTTAAGGCACAAACCCGAAAAATGACACTCTGTTCAAGGGAAAAACAGAAACTAAGGATAGTGTGTTCAACGCATCAACTAAATTAAGTTTCTGAAACATTGGAAGTTAACAAATAGGTGAGTTTTAACAGATCATTTGTTTTTCATTTAGCTGTGCCTTACACATTGGAATTTTAGTTGATACAGTTTAGGCACCCTATCTAAGGATCACACCAGGAGCACAATGCCAACAGGGACTAAAATGATGCCCTATTTAAGGATTGAGAACCTCAAAAACCCCACCCAATCCCACAACACATACCTACATAGCCCATACCTAAATATAGACCATACCTATACAGCCCATATATGGGAGAAACACCCCCCCNCCCCACACACACACACACCCCAGGATTCTTTCTTCCAGCTGTTTTGTGTTCTTCTGGAACTCATGATAATCAGTGTTCACCACACCGGCTTACTTACCTCATATTTGCAAGAAAAACTTTAAGTCTAATTTCTTTAACAGTACTAGTGTTTAGTAAAAAGCTACAACAAGAGCACCATGACTGAAGTACAGTTTTACCATTTCAACAGGTCTTCTAAAGGTTTCTCATTGCTTGCAACTTGAATTACACTCTCTACAAAATTTGGGAAGAAGAAATGTGCTGTTTCTACAATACTTAAGTACCACGGGAAATACATTTGTCTTTTTCTCAGAGCAGCTCCCTTAATCATTGCAAGGGAACATTCATCAACAGGCTCCCGCTTTACAGCCTTTTCAACAGGATGACCTTTGGTGCTCTCATGAGCATTCTTTGTGTCTATATACCCAAGGATGCACAGTGTTATGGAGAGCCCCTTGTGACCTTGCAGTGCTAAATCTTGGCGTAAGCTGTTAAAAAATCCATGCAGTGCACGCTTATTTCCACTGTAAGGTGCAGTCCTTGGGGTGTTGACAACTGCTGTAAATGATGACACTACCACAATGCTTCCATTGGTCTTCTGAAGGCCTGTGAGAAATAAGGTGGCAATGTTGATGTAGCTGATGGTATTGACAGCAAAGTAACGTGGGACATTGTTGAGGTCACTGTTCTCGTTCCAAAAGTCATAAAAGGGTAGAAGATGGTTGAGGACAAGTACATCAGGTCCATCAAATAATTTGTTAGTTTCCTGCATGAAAAGAAGACACTATTTCATTGATTCAGAAGTCAAGAAGGCTTTGTTTTACACTTTCATAAATACTTGATATACAAAGTAATGACTGATTTGTTGTCTGCATGTGTTGAATAATTTAGAAATTAATTTTGTTTACCATTTTTGACTATTTGTCATGATAGTGGCCCAATTATTTATACTAGTGACAAATTGTCTGATACTAAACCTATATTAGGAATCCACTTATCCATCTGAGATGGAAAAACTGTCTAGATATAACTCTGATGTTTAGACAATTTAGGTCACAAAATTTGTCTTGGGTTTAAGTGTCTGTCACCATGTCTTGAAGATGTGATGACAGAGCATCAGTTGAAGACAAATTTTGCCACATAATTCAACCAAACACCGGATTTATAGTAACACGATTGATCCATCTAAGGCAGACGAATTATCCCTTTCAGACAGCTAATTCATCCGAGTTGGTTAACTCTTCTCGTCCTTCCTTATTATTCTCTAATATAAATTCCACTGTGCTTTCAACAAGACCCAGTACCTGCTGGAACTCTAATGGGCATGTTCTCTTATTAATAATTTGCTATAATGTTTAACAATTATTCACCGAAGTGGAGTTGAATAGTGGTGGATATTTACCNTTGAGATTATGACTGCGCTTACACCTACAACTCCAATTTTCACTAGGTCATAAGCACTCTTACAACTCCGACTCCAACTCCATCACTAGTGAAACAACCCTTTAGAGGTGCCAATGTATTGTTATAGTTTCATCATGCTTAGTTCTGAATTATTTTGTGGCAACACACTCCATGGCAGCTCCAAAAAACATATTAGTATCGAACTTTAAACCCCACTGGGTATCCTTGCCCATAAGCATCTGTGCCAACTCTGCTGGATTATCTGGGAGTCTCCAGGACACAGACCGTATCTCCCCACCCTGGGGTGATACAATGTTAAAACCCTCACCCTTGGGGAGGCCATGTCAATCAAATTTCCGACCCTCGCGCCCCGCCTCCCTCCATCCCATAGCAGTTAAATAAAACAGATAAATTTGTAAACTTAAAATTATTTGGTGAGTTGAAAAGCATAATTTACGTACGGCAGCTAAATTCTTTGCAGCCTCCAAAGAAGACAGGTCAGCCACAACGTAGTTAGCAGTCTGCGCGCCTAATTCTGCGCAACGTGCCACGACTTTTTTGAGGACCTCTTCCCGTCGAGCAACGAGTAAAACTTGGGCGCCAAGTTTGGCGTACTGATAAGCAAGTTCCTCGCCGATTCCAGTGGACGCTCCACAGATTACTACCTTTTTACCCCGCACACTTTCGGGATCGAAATTCCCTTTTAGGTACCACGCAATTAAAACGGCTGCAAAAGCTGTGCAAATCCCAAAGACAGCTGCAAGTTTCAGTATCCCCGCCATTTTGAGCGCGTAAGTCGAAAAATGTAGGTTAGTGTGGGAGGGGTGGGGAAGTTAGTCCTTATCGACGCGGTAGGGTATAGATAATTCGTTTTGCTCACGAAATTTATCTTGAATCCGTTAGTCTGAACAAATGTATGCGCAATTTTCAATCGTTTTACGTGGACAAATTTGATGTTCACCCTAAAACAACCTAGAATAAAGGCTTTTATTGGCTGTACCCCGCCTGGGTGCGGGTTTTCAACCCGGGATATCGGGGACGATTACGACTACTTCCGAACATTTCCGACTACTTTACAGGCAGAAGTTGTTGTTGCTACGTGTCATCGTTCCAGAAAAACATGGCCTCTGGCGCGTAACGTAACTTGGAAATCTTGCTGTACCCTAACTTAAACGCCCATTGTCTGCCACCATGAAAGTAGTGTTCATAACGAAACAAGGATGGTGGATTGTCGTGGCCGTTTGTGTGTTTGTTCTTGGAAATTGTGTTCTCCTTTACCGCTTTATCAACAAGAATTCAATAGCGGATCAGCTCGAGAAAACAAGACTAAAGGAACTCTCAGACAGATACTTAGCAAACGTGGGACCAGATTCAAAGCTACGTGATATTGCTGAAGCAGTTAAAAAACTGCGAAAGAAACCTGCACAATCTGATGTTTTTATACCTAGTTTACCTTTAGCACAAAGGGGAGATCAAATCAAGGAAAATATTGGCTTCAATGAAGGACGGAGAACAGATGAAACTGCTATTTCTTCTAAGAGAGATGCGATTTCAACAAAAACTGCAGCAAGTGATTTTGTAGCTGCAGTGCTTGTTATAGCGTGTAACAGACCGACAGTGAAGCGTTGTTTAGATCTCCTTCTACAATATCGCTCTTCAGCCAAACAATTCCCCATTATTGTGAGCCAAGATTGTGGTCACCAGCCGACAGCTGATATCATTAGATCGTATGGAACCCAAGTTTCATTCATTCAACAACCAGACCTGTCGGATGTTCAAGGTGTTCCTGCAAACATGCGCTCAATGATGGGTTACTACAAGATCAGTCGTCATTACAAGTGGGCCCTGGGACAGGCTTTTGATCACATGGGATATGACACAGTGTTGATTGTTGAAGATGACATAGATATTGGTAAGTGTTGGTGACCAAAACATTTTTTGGTTTGCTCAGGTCACAGATCAACTGATATCAACCAAAATCCCGGCGTGTCCAATCAAGGAAAACCTATCATTGATAAAGTCAATTCCAATCAATATAATCAATAGTAATGAATCGATTTATATCGGAAATTGATTAAAATTGATGATCAGGAGAGTTTCAAAACCTCTATTGTTGAATTTTAATGTGCTTCTCAAAACATTTTAGCAATAGAGGTCATTCTCTTTAGTTACATAGATTATGATACCATTATGTCCACATGTTGAGAATCATGATAGATATGTACAATTAAATGATAACTTATTTGCCCCTTTTAGCACCAGACTTTTATGAGTACTTTACTGCAACAAAGCCTTTGCTGGACAAAGACCCTACATTGTGGTGTATCTCAGCTTGGAATGATAATGGGAAGGAAGGAATGGTAAAAAGAAATGATGTCCTCTACAGAACAGACTTTTTCCCCGGACTCGGCTGGATGATACGCAAGTCTCTTTGGGATGAGCTCAAACCCAACTGGCCACTGGGATTTTGGGATGATTGGATGAGGGAAGCTCCTCAACGTAAAGACAGGTCATGTATACGTCCTGAGATCCCACGTACAAGGACTTTTGGCAGAGAAGGCGTGAGCCGTGGGCAATTTTTTGATCAACATTTAAAATTTATCAAGTTGAATGACAAGAAACACCCTTTTACAAAAACCGACCTTTCCTATTTATTGAAAGAGAACTATGATGAAACATTTGTTGAACGTGTGCATTCACTACCACTTGTCACTGTTGATCAGTTCCATGACAAGCGAGTGTTTGCCCCAGAGGTGCAGGTTCATTACGCTTCACAGCAAGAATTTCAAAATGTGGCAAAGCAGCTTGGAGCAATGACTGACTTTAAAGCAGGAATACCAAGGATGGCTTACAGAGGAATAGTGTCAATTGTATTCTCAGGAATTATTGTGCATATAGTCCCATCTCATTAGTAGCTACAAAACTATAATGATATACATGCACACATAAGCCACTGTCTGTTGTGAGTGGATACAGAGTGTGAATCATAGCAGGTCCCATGTTTTTTGATGTTAAATGTGTCTAAGGTCGTGTT